TGCTAAGGATATTGCTCAGTGGTTAAGTGCTCCTGGGTTCAATCCCCGTTACCAAACATAATAAGAACAACCAAAGAGGTTGTGTAAATCCCTAGTGCATGCAAAGCAGGATTAGGTTATGGGGGCAGGGGTAGAAGTGTCTGGCTTTTTAGAATACATACACCCCAGCTGGAGCTAATCATCTCCAAGTGGCAGATAAAGACTGATTCTGGTTGCATCCTTTATAAGAAATGGGATGAATGTTAGTGTCTTAAAGGACCACATTCTAATTTGCTTGGGCTGTCAGGATAGAGCTACATAATTGTATACCACAAGTGGTCATGAGGTCATTGTTTCTGGTGCATTTGAGAGAATTATGCAGAGTGTATTAAGGTGGAAACCAGATCTTTCATATGTCTATCTGTGGCTCATTAAAAGAGCCAAGTCAACCTCGCTAAGATCCAATGAGCTGAGGAAAAAAGTGAATAATGGAGAGCAAAGAAAACAGGGATTTCTGAGCAAGTTAAAATTTTCTTGAACAAGAATACTTTCTTTTTTTAATTTTTATTTTTTTATTTTTATTTAATTTTTTTAGTCATACATGACAGAATGCATTTTGATATATAATACATACATGGAATATACATACATCAATTATATTGTCTATTCTGCTGCCCTTGAACAGGATTACTTTCGACAATAAACTTTGCCAAATACTTCCATCCAAAATAATGGCTAATGCATGACCAATGTGATTCTGCAACATGCACACTCAGAAAAATGAGAAATTATATCCAATTTAAGTATGATATATCAAAGTGCATAAATGTATTCTACTGTCATGTATAACAATTTAAAACAATTATAAAAAATTCAAACAAAGTTCACCATGAAAAGTAATAATATTGGCAGAGATAGCTGGGTGGAGTGGTCGCTCGTGCCTGTAATCCCTAGTGACTGGAGGCTGAGGCAGGAGGAACAAGTTCAAAGCCAACTTTAGCAACCTTGGCCCTAAGCAACTTAGGTAGATCCTGTCTCAAAACAAAAAGGATTGGGGTGTGACTCAGTGGTTAAGTGCCCCTGGGTTCCATACCTAGTACCAAAAAACAGTGGTACAGCAGTTGCAGTGGCACACCCTGATAATCCCAGCCACTTGGGAGGCTGAGACAGGAGGTTCACAAGATGGAGGTCAGCCTGAACAAGTTAAGAACCCTGCGTTTCAAAGGGATGTAGCTCAGTGGTAGATTACCCCTAAATTCAATCCCCATTTAAGCAAAATTAATGATGGTAGAAGTTGGCTTTGAACACATCTGAAAAAATAGCCAAATGTTTCATAGTTGCTAGTTTCTTTTCACTTATTGACATGTATTACCTGTTTGATACAAGAATTTCCCTTGTTAATCAATGGGATAAACTTGAGATGACTGCATGTATGGTTTCTACAAACTTGCCACTCCTGGTCTTGTTCAAGGGACTCAAGCCTTAGGGAGGGTGGGGGTAGGAGCAGCACCTGTATTTTTAATAAGTGATGTTGACTTTAAAATTATTGATACCTTTGTCCCGTGATGGAAAATGGCAATACTTCTTGTCCAGATTTGATATTTATATTTAATAAAGCAGTGTTGAAAAACCATCTGATAGGTATTTCAGTATCTCCTTTATTTAGGTCTAATAGCATCCTAAATAAAGTAGCCTGGTTGTTTACAATAAAAAAATTCACCCTTTGCCAGATACAGTGGCACTTTCTTGTAATGCCAGCTACTCAGGAGGATAACAAATTAGAGGCCAGTGTGGTGAACTTAGCAAGACCCTATCTCAAAAAGCACTGGAGGGGTTGGGGATATGGCTCAGTTGGTACAGTGTTTGCCTCGCATGCACAAGGCCCTGGGTTCAATTAAAAAAAAAAAAAAAAGGACTGGGGATGTAGCTCGGTGGTTGTGCCCCCAAATTCAATCTAAGTACTAAAAAGAAAGAAAGAAATCACTCTTAGGAACCTTGCTTCACTTTTTGCCACATATTTTCATCTGATGATCTAGCAGGTAAATTCAAAAGAAAATCATCCTTCATAGAGGATGTCAAAGCTCAGAATCAGTTTTTTCCCCCACACTGCAAGGGGCCAAAGCAGCCCTCCAATACAGGAATCAGTCCGTGTTTCCCTGACAGCCTTAACCTTTGTGACCTCTACTTCCACATGCTCTTCCCTGCCATCTACTTCCATCTCCCATGCCACTGCAAACCTTGGCCTCACTGAAAGAGTTTGTGTCTGTTCCCACATACCATGTTCCTGAGCTTGCCTGGAATATTCCTTGCAAGAAGGAGAACATTAATTTGTTAAGAACTCTCATTCCTCTGCTGACAGTAAAGTCAATGCTATGTCAGTTTATTCTTGCACTAGGTCTGCCTTCCTGAGTCATTCTTATTTCCCTGTTACATTTTTTGAATATTTGCTATCACCAAGCAGCCAGCATCTCACCAGGGTAATTTTTCCTTCTCAAAAGAGGGTAAGCCACCTGAGGAAATAAAAGTCAATATGGGGCAGAGTCAGAAAAATAGGTTTTAAGGGATGGAGCGCCTGATAGATCCAGTCCACATAGGAGCTGGAGCTGGACAACTAGAAAATGGCTCCAGTTGTTTATTTGAGGGGGTACATCAAAGGCAAGGATAAAGTTTCAGCAGGAGGACTCTTGCTTCATGGTGTCTTGTCCTCAACAGGTTGATTGTCATCTTAGCAAGCCACACCCATCTCTGAGAGGCTGTGTTGCTTTGTGGCTCCAGCAGGTAACCCCATCTCCAGTGCTGTGTGGAACCTGGCAGAACTAGGTAGAATGTCACATGTATTGGTGCAGTCTCACCAGCAGGAGTGCCGCTGGGAGTTCCCAGACACCAGACTTTCTTACTCAAAGGCTTCCATGCTGATTTGGTTCATGAATGGCTTCTGACAATTTGCTGTATGCCAAACACTTTTAATCCTATTCATTTAATCCTCGTGATTATATGAAATAAAAGGCATTTCATTCATTTTACAAATCAGATAATGAAGCACAGAGAGGTTAAAGAAACTGCTTATGTAGACTAGAGCTGTTAAGTGACAGAGGCTGGTTTCTATTTCAGGTTATAGATCAATCAGTGCTTTTAACCATTCATGAATAACAATCCCAATGATGGTGGCACATGCCTATAATCCCAGCAACTCGGGAGGCTGAGGCAGGAAGATCATGAGTTAAAAGCCTCAGCAACTTAGTGAGGCCCTAAGCAACTTAGTGAGACACTGTCTCAAAAAAATAAATTAAAAAGGGATGGGGATGTGGCTCAGTGGTTAAGGACCCCTGGGTTTAATCACATATATATTATATATATGCAATTATATATAATATGAAATATATATTTTTTTTTTCTTCTTTCTAAAGTATTGTAAAACTTCACATCATTATGACCCTAAAGATGAAGGAGTAAAATCCAGTTAAGTGATGAGAATGGACACAAAGCACTTGTTGTAAGGTTCAGTTCTCAAATTGAGGGAACTGAGAGTAAAGATAATTGGCAGGAACCAAGGAAGGTCACTGAGAATTGAAGTGAATGAAAATAAAAGTCCACTTTTGCATTATACTTCTGTGAAAAGAATATTATACCAGTTTTGATAATGAGAATTATTGGATGGAATACAGGTAAAGTTCCATTACTTTTAGGGGAACTGACCAATTATTTTCTAGTGTGGAAAATTATTTGATGTTAACTAAAAGCTAAGCATGCTCCCTGTGAGAAAACTCTTAGAAAACTATTTGAACCTTTTTTTTTAAACTAAAAGTAACAGAGAAAGCAAACTACATTTGCTCTCGTTAACATTTATTTGAATTACTCATTAATGCATCTCCCCATTCCTAATTCAAATATTCTGTCTCATTTGGGAGGATGATACACAGAATAATCTGTGGGTTAATAATATCTGGGTTTGTGCCTCGCATTGGTGGGAAGGAAGAGGCCTTTTATTTCATTTGGTACATTTGGGTAATGTTTTAAATTATAATCATTTGTTATTTTTTAATGTGGAAGAAAAACTAGCCAGGCAAGTGGCTCATGATTGTAATCCTAGCAGCTCAGAGGCTGAAGCAGAGGATCACAAGTTCTAGGACAGCCTCAGTAATTTAGTGAGGCCCAAAGCAATTTAGTGAGACCCTGTCTCAAAAAACAAAAAGGGCTGGGGATATGCCTTAGTGGTAAAGCATTCCTGGGATCAATCCCCAGTACCAAAAAAAGAAAGAAAAGAAAAACTCATTTGAATTCATCAATCATCTGCTTAAACTGAAGCACACTATAGCCCAGGATACCCAGATCTTCGATTTATGCATGTTAAGGCTTTTCTTCATGTTTTCCAAAGTGATCCAAGAATCACCTGCAATAAAAATCACTCAGGATGCTTGTTCATAGTATGTGTCTATGGATCCCTCTCCCCAAAATTTTATTTCAGTCAGCCAGAGGTAGAAGCCAGAATTCTATTGTTTTGTTTGTTTCCCTGATTCCTAGCAATAAAGATTGTCAAAGTTTTTCACTTGTTAATGAATTAAGGTTCAGGGAAAGACAACAATGTAGATCTTTGAAGAAAAAAAAAAATCCAGTAATGAGATTCTGACTGCGGACTACGACCTTATTAGATTTTTTCTTCAACTATCAGGTTGAAGTGGAAAAGGGTTATTGTATTCCTAAACCTGTAGTTGGTTCAAAAGAGAATTGATAATTACTTTCACGTATAGGACAAAGAAGGGCCTGGACAAATGGCAAGTTTCTAAGGATTGGGGAAAATCTGGAGGATCTCAGATATTCAATTAAGAGAACAGCAACTTCTTTAACTTTTAAAGGCCCACCAGTGTCCAAAGATCAGAATGACAGATGATTTGTGGAGGTTAAGAGGGAGAAGAAAAAGGTTGATACAGAGTGGGAAGATCTCTGAAGAATGTCACTGAGAAGTAACTGCAAGTCTTACATGATTATAACACAGCTCGATCCAAGAATAACTACAACAGCAATCTATCAATTATACCATTTATTGATGATAGAGTTATACTGGAAAACAATCACAACAAAAGAACAAGCTGCTGAAGAGAATACTTAGGTTTACTAAGTAAAACGTTTCTTTGAAACATAACGTGAAGAATTGTCAGATGCAGCAATGTGTAAGCCCTTGGATCTGTATACAGATGGCTCAGCTGTGACGCACAGGCTACACTCCGTATCTCGCCAGGCAATCAATTTGTGTGGGTTTTCTTGTTAATTTATTTATGTTTTGTTTTGTTTTTGTTTTTATGCCTGCATCTCAGAATGACAAATCATATGAACTTCTTGGAATACATTTGCTCACATTGGGATGTATGAAAGAAAAGAGTTATTTTTGGTCAATGGGTGAGCATTTACCTTTATCCATGAACGAAGGTGAAAAACAGTTTAGTTTCTGAATATAGAATGGTCTATTCATTAGTATACTTTTTTGGTAAGGTTTCCTTTTGGTCCTTTGTGATTTAATCTCTTCCCTGTGATTTTCAGGAAAAGACAGGGGTATAGGTGAAACTGGTATTGGAGACCTTGATGGCAGGCATCTTGTTGAGCCTATTTTAACCAGTGATTGAGTAGTTTGGGTGGTGGAAGGCTTGGGTGAGAGTTCTTGGCATGAATTTGAAGTGAAACTTTTGGGATTCTTAAAATCATCATAAGTTGCAATACATTGTTTTGTGGTTGGTGAACTTTTTAGAGATGGTGATCTAGAATTCCATTTATATTTTCCATCACCACTCCAATTCCACTTTGAAGCATTTTGTTCTAGCTTACTACAACCAGAACTGTTTTTTCTCTTTTCTCGGCTTTTATCTACACAAGATGTCAGAAGACTCAAAGCGTCAGGAAGTTTGGGCTGCCTTGCTTTCAATGTACTTTTGGAGGAAGAGGGTCGCTCAGAAACTGCTGGAGAACAGAAAGCACTTGGTAGCCTAGACCGCTCCTTTTGTATAGTCATATGTTGTAATCGTTCCAGTTCTAGTAAACGAGTTATCAGCTGTTCAATGGAGCTTTCTGGAGAGTCCAATGTTGCTTTCCAATTTTCACATCTTGAAAAGGCAAATTTGTGCAAATCCAGAGTATTGAAAGGAGGGGGAAGAAAATCAGGATATAGAAATACTTCACTTGGTTCCTCAGTAAAAGATTCCTCAACATTTTCTATTGTTTCTGGCTTTAACTTCAAGTCCATCTTTTTAAAATAGCTGAGTAAAGTATCATTAGTGTTCTCGTTTTCTGATAAGTCACTTTCATCAGTTAAAATTTCTTCCACACTGCTGTTTCCATGTTTAAGGTTGCAGTTTGGAGCAGATAAAGTTTCTCCATTGCTGGTTTCTATAGGTGAACATGAATCAATTTGAAACTCACTTCTGTCCTTTAAAAAGTCTCCGTCAGCATAGGGCCAGTAGAGACCTATCGGCATCGGCAGTCCCAGTTTAGAACCAGCTTTCTGATCAGCTGGAGTACTTGTTAATGAGTGGTTTAGGGTAAAGAGCCTTATGGGATTATTGACTACGTTAAAGCCAGTTTCCATTGTAGATTTTTTGAATTCCCTTTAAAAAATAATTTAATTAATGAGTGATTTGTTGACTATAATTAAAATGCTATTAAATGATACAAATAAATAACCTTTGTCAAAGATTGATTAACATTTAGTTCCCAATGGCACATATGTATATGTGTATCTAGCTATCTGCAACAAAAATATATTAATTTCAAAATATGCTTTAATTATATAAACTATATAGATTAAAATATTAATTAGATATCCCTTTGCACAAGTGCTTTCTCACAAATTTAGCTTATCCAGCCGGTAGCAAGATACCTGAAATGAGACCTAAAAACAGCTAACTGTGGCTACGAAGCCACAAGGTTAAAAGTGGCTAATTATATTCATTTACCTATATAGCACATGAAATTATGATGTCTGAAAATTAGGATATCCAATTCAAACTGAAATTATAGTGAAATGACTTAGAATCAGATAAAAGGAAACTTAACGAATGTACTTAGGTTACTTAACAAAGACTTCTGTTAATCACTATAGTTTTAAAAAATTATTCTAACAAAAAAGTAAGAAATATCTATTAAACCAAAATTATTCCAGATATAGTCCCTAGTAATTCTCTTCTAATGATGCCTTTTTACTTTAGGATTGATTCTTCTAGGTATTATAAAAACAATACTGTAAAACTACAACAATAATACTGAAAACTGCAAAAACACTAGGCCATAAAATACTGAGTTGCTAGTTTTTTTTTTAAGATAGCTAGAAATACTGGGATTGAAAGATCAGATGCATTTAAGTTGACATGTGGTCTTAACATTGGTCTTGTTTCTATAAGTGGCCAGTTTACAGTAAAGATAAGGTAATCTAGGATTTTGAAAAATACTTTAATTACTACAGAAGGTGATAAAGGTTTATTCATTTAGCTAAGCACTATAGCTAAGCACTAGGAATGCTGCCTTGCCTTTGAAAAACTACAGGAAAATCCCTTTAAATCTGCAGTTGCTCAAAGACAGGAGCCCCCTGCTGTATAGTAAAAAGAGCAGGCAGGCTGGAGGAGGAAGGCCTAGGTGTGACCCCATACCAGCAGCAGTGAATAAGCAAAATGCAAAGGTCAATATCCACCTCAGGGGAGTTCTGAGGAGAACATGTTATATCACTGTACTTTGTGAAATGTTAAACACTAAATGCAAGTAATTTTCATCCTCCTTACTTGTTGATGGTACACTGAGGAGAAAAAATGTAATGAACTATTTCATTGACACCCAACTTCCATCTCTGTATCATCCTTAGGCCTAACCTGCATGAAGAGCAAATCCCTATCAAACACATGCTTCAGTTTAGTCCTCACAACATCCTCATGAGATGGGCTCTCTCCCTTTCCTCCTTTTATAGATATGCACACTGAGATACACTGTGGCTAAGGTCACATATCTAGTAACTGGTGGGGCTGGCACTTGAACCCAGGAGGTAGAGATCATGGCTGTGATCCCAACCACTGCCTTCTTCTGCCTCCTTTAATGTTTGCTCCTCTGTTACTGTGATAAAAGTCAGTTCACTGTGTTTGACCTCTTACCTTGACATCCTTGTCCCTAGCTGAGTGCTTTCTCACAAAGTTAGCCTATCTAGCAGCACCAACATTCCCTTGTTAGTGCACACAATTCTCCTGGCACTTCTTGGTTCCCCCTTGAATTTTACATAAGGGCAGCTTTCCTCTGGGCCTCATGGAGTTGAAATCCTCTGACCAGAAGAGAGCTACTGTCAAGTGACGCACTCTGTTGTTAACAGCTGGATGTGATGAATGGGACTTGGGATGCCCTTCACTATGTGTAAAAGTGTCACCAAGCCGTGTTCAAGAAGAGGTAATTTCCAAACACCTATGTTTTTAAGGGGCAGTCTAGCTGGTTCTAATCTATAGTAAAATCTAAGCACAAAATATGAGAATGCAAACCCAGGGAAATATGATTTGACTATGCTACCTTCAAATCTCAGCTCCACCATCCATTAATTGTGTCACTTTGACAAGTTACAGAACTGGTCACCATGCCTCAGTGTCCTCATCTGTAAAACAGGGATAATGCTAACAGCAACTACCTTGTAACACTGGGCTCAGATTAAATGAGTTAATATGTATAGAGAATGCAAAGAGTTCCTGGAATAGTACTTCCCTATTATATTTCCTTTTCCTTTCAACGACAAGTCCAACTCTATCCATCTAAGCCTCCATAGTAAGAGATGAAAATTTCTACAATTTGAAGAAAACCCTAGTGTCATCTAAGCCTTCATAGCAAGGGCACAGTGAACTCACCTCTTACCTGCATGCTGGCTAGTTTGTGGTGTCCACTACCACTTCCTATTTCAGGGTGGATTTCTGTAATTTCCATACAATTTTTCTTTGGTTGTTTTTGGCTCTTGTATTTCAAGCAGCTAATTCATCTGTTTTTAAAATTATTTCAGTAATTTAGAGTATTACAAAAATATCTTCTTACCTGTTCTCCATGGTACTTCCTTCATTAAGAGGGTAACTCCATAACTGAAACAGCTCTTGTTTACTATTCTGATAATAGAAAGATCATGGCAGTGTCTTAGAAAATACATGAATTTTTGAATGATAATTTAAGAGTATGATACGATGAATAAAATACCACCTGTGTTCTCCTGTGAGCATGCTCTGACATATTAAGTTCTAGCATCAGTTGCTCTACTGGAATTTCCAAATGGTTCTATGAAGCAGCAGAAGACTTAAACACAACATGCCTGTGTTTCCTGTTCATGTTCTAAGAAGGTATAGTTCTTGTTCTAACCACAGGATCTATCATAAGGGCCAATGTATTCCCTTTATGCATACAAAAATCATTTTCTTTTTACTGATTTCATCAGAAATCTATTATCAACACCAACTAAACATTGTTAACTAATGAACCTTCAGTATCATTAACATTATTTTACAGTGAAGCATTTAATATTTTGATCAAAAATTGTAAGTGAAAGATTAATTTTATGCCATTTCAAAACAGGATATTTACCATTTCAACCACTTTGATACATTGTAAGGGCTGAGAATACTTCCCTTTTGGCAATGACTAAAAAACACTATATTTACTACATGTCAATTTCCATGTCTAGTATTGTTTTATTAAAAATAGTTAAAATAACAAAATATTAATTAAATGAACAATTTTCAGCCCTGTAAAACAGAAACACGTTGCCTTGGTTGAAGAACTCTACAGAAATAAAATTTAAAGTTTAATTTTGAAGAAGAAAAAAATTTCAAATATGCTTATCATTTTCAAACAATATGTTTGTGAATTACTTAAAACCAAACATCCTTACCTTATTAATTTTGCCTGAAAGAATGTGTATGAAAAAATGACAATTAATAGTTACATAAAACAGGTTGCATTCAAACAAACCCCCTTTAACATAAGTAATTATTCCAGTATTAATATACACATCTAGGATTTCTTACCACCTGCCGCACTATCCCTTCCAGGTGGGAGGTTTTTATTTTCAAGAACAGGTACTTCGGAATCCAAACTCCAGGAAGATACATTCTAAAATAATATTTGGTTAGGATACACTTAAAATTAAGAAGATTTTTAAAAGCCCAAGTACACAATTTTACACGTTCTTTGGTTAAAGTATGACACAAGGCCCAAAGTCCTATGACCCCTCTGCCTCCAGGATGGATGCATTCAGTATCTTTGATGAAGACAATTCCTTTAGTCAAACCTTTACCAGCTTGATAACACCTGACATCCAGGAAATGGAAGCACTCTTACCATAATTATGATTCCCTTCTCATTTTATTAAAATGACACACAGGTTCTCAAAATTGATTTTAAAATATAATAAAAAGTCATGTTCCACTAGTGGCACACAATGGCATGTTCATCAGGTTTTCTGTGTCTGAGCACCAGATTGGAAAGCCTACAAAACCTTTCCACCAATCCTTGCATTATATCCAATGCTAACAAGTCTATAAATCTCAATCTAGATTTCAGATGTTGAGAAACACTCAGGAAATACTCAAAAAGAAAACAAAAAATGATTGAAAAGGGAAAGGTACTAATATCTACTAAGTATTTCTATTCCAGATGTTGTGCAGAGTGCTATAGGGGAAACCTGTGTGTGTGGGCAGGGAATGATTGTAATACTCTATTCTAGAAAGGGGAAGTGATAAGTTACAAAAGTAACTTGAGGAGTGAACCTAGTTGTTTTCTATCTCAGACAAAAAAAATTTATAAATGAATCTCTAAATGAATGAAATGTTAGGTATTATTAGGTATCAGCTCCACACTAAGGAGGAACAGGGAGAAATAAGCTTCAATACACACAAGGATTTAATTTTATTCACAGCAGGGTATCTCCTGATGGGAAGGATAGTGGGATATGGGAAAGGAGGGTGCCGATTATTTTTATTTGGAAACTTTTGAAAATAAAATTAATAAACTTCTGTTTCTGATATAACATATGTGAGGTCTAGTTGCTATATGAGAACCACCTGGGGAACTTTTTAAAAATGATGGTTGAGGGCTGGGATTGTAGTTTAGTGGTACAATGCTTGCCCAGCATGCGTGAGGCCCTGTGTTCCATCCTCAGCACTAAAAAGAAAAAAGTTGATAAAAAATATAGATTTTAATTCAGTAGAATGAGGGTAAAGTCAGATGTTTGCATTTTAAAAACTTCCCCAATGGATTCACAAATTTCTTTCAGCTATATAATCCCAGGACACTAGTTAGTGTCTCAAATGTACATGTGAGAAACATCCTTACATTCATATGGTAAAAAGAAGTTGATAAAAACTGCTGTTTATACAAACAAATTAACAATCAAATGTGACATGGGTAAGGAAGGCTGGTCAGCTAAATATGAAATCAGTTAGTTTGCAAGTTTCTTAAGGCCTCGGACTTGGTTATTGCCTTGATGATATTTTCCATGAAGTACACATGAGAACGTAAAATGGTGAGAATTGCCTGACTGATAACTGATAAATAGCATCTTTAACGAAATCTTCTGAGATTTGGAGAGAAGCTAATGTTTGATATCTCAAACGTGCAGAGGGAAAAACAGTACAAACAGCTCACAAACTGAAAGCAGTAAGATTATCTCTGTAGTAAAAGTCAGTGGGAATTGTTTTAGCAATGAGAGCTCCTGCCCAAAGGCTCAAGTTCAGTAGCATCTGCCATACCTCCTGAGAAATGCTTGACAGATGGACCGTGGCGACACAGTTCTCACCATTTCTTCTGCCCATTTTGTTGTAGCTGCTCCTCTGTTTCCTTAAAATCCTATACAGGTTGTGGGACAGGCACATTTATGGGTAAGATTCAACATTCATATAAAAAGAAAGTGGGAGCTTAGGGCACTTAACTGGTATACATGAGGCCCTGGGTTTGATCCCTCCCTCCACCCCACACACACACAAAAAAAGAAATAAAAGAAAATGTTTAGAAAGTAGAGTGGACTGTGAGGTTGGAGTAACCATATGAAATCAACCAGGATTAAAAAAAAAAAAAAATGCGGGGCAAACCAGGACAAGAAAGGGCACAAACAAAAGCAAACTAGAAATTTTAATTGACAGATGATTACAAAATTAAGACAGAGGTGAGAAAGGAGATATCAGATAAGAAAAATGAAATACAAATTGGAAAAAAAGGGGGGGTGAGTTATCTGGAAATTAACAAATAGGGCCATGATGTCTGTTTTGAATCATTCAAAACAAAAAGTGCTCCATTTGGGGCTAGCGTTGTAGGTCAGTGGTAGCGCGCTCTCCTAGCAAGTGCAAGGCCCTGGGTTCGATCCTCAGCACCAAATACTAACAAATAAAGGTGTTGTGTCCAACTACAACTAAAAAATAAATAAATAAATAAATAAATAAAAAGTGCTCCATTTGGAAGCCAGGTCAACTGTATATATAAGCAAAACAAGAATCCTGTGCATATTTCAGAGACATTAAAAGGCCCCCAAGACAGGGTGATATTTTCCACAATAAACTTCCATGGTGTCCAAAAAGCCCACTATAATTTAAGGTAAAAGCATTGGAAAAATAGAAGATAACAGACCAATCACTGGGTTAAGATATAACTATTTGGAAAGAATTATAAATTAAAGCCACGTAATACTATACACATCCGCTAACTGGTTTCAATTTTTTGTCTCCTAGACGTAAAGGTGAGCCTTGGAGAAACGGGAGACACAGATCCATAGGGGATGGTCCACCTGCCCTGAGTCTGCGGCCACTGCTGGGGAGAATGCGGAAGGAAGGAGGCTCTGGAGTAGAGGCCCGCCTGGGGCCACCAGGGTCCTGTCCTGGGGGAGAGCCCTGGCCCCAGGCACCCGAAAAGGGTACCAGCAGGAGGAGCTTCAGACCAGGAAAGGGAGCTTCTGGAGTCCCAGAGCGGGAAGGCAGGTGTCTGAAGGGGCCCCAGGCCCCTGGGCGGGCAGCTCCCTTTCGCTCCCGGGATGTGGCTGGTCTCAGCGGGGAGCTCGGGCCAGGGCGGCAGGTGGGGCTCGCGGTCGCC